AAAAAAAAAAAAAAAAAAAAAAAAAAAGATTAAATTGATGTTAAAACTGCAATGAGGTATCACTTCACATCCACTGAGATGACTTAATAAAACAAAGAGTCACAAGTGTTGGTGAGAATGTTGAGAAATGGGAGCCCTCATTCACTGCTGGGCGGAATGTAAAGTTGAGGGGTCCCCATGAAAATTTGGGGGCTCCTCCAAAGGTTGAGATACATACCCCTGGCTGGACTTGGTGGCTCAGCCTGTAATCCCAGCACTTTGGGAGGCTGAGACGAGTGGATTGCCTCAGCCCGTGGGTTCGAGACCAGCCCTGGCAGCAACTTGACAAGACCTCATCTCTACAGTAAATAAAAAATTAGCCAGGCGTGGTAGCCTGTGCCTGTAGTTCCGACTGCTTGGGAGGCTGAGGCGGAAGGATTGCTGGAGCCCAGCAGGTCGACACTGGGGTGGCCGTGAGCGTACCACTGCACTCCAGCCTGGGCGACGGGGTGAGACTCCGACTCAGAAAAAAAAGATATCAACCCCAAAGCATGAAAACACATCCACACAAAAGCTAGCAGCATTATTCATAATAGCCAGAAAGTGGAAATAACCCAAATGTCTGTCAATAGATGGATGGATAAAATCAAATGTGGTCTGTCCACACCATGGAATATTATTCAGCATGAAAAAGAGTGAAGTGCTGATACGTCCTGCAACATAGATGCACACTGAGGAGATTATGGTAAGTGACAGAAGCCAGAAACAAAACATATTAGTCATATGATTCCATTTATATGAAATGTTCAAAGTAGGCAAATCCATAGAAATTAGTGGTTAACTAAAGCTGGGAGTTAGGGAGAAATGAGAAAGTGACTATGGACTGGTACAGGGTCCTTTTTGGGGGTGATGGAAATGTTCTAAAATTGATTATGGTAATGATGGCACAACTCTGTACAAAAGACCATTGAATTATATGCTTGAAATGGGTGAATTGTATGTTATGCAACATATGGGACACATATGGTGTATGTTATATATATATGTACATATATATGTACATATATGTATCTCAGAGTTTACAGAAAAAAAGATCAACTTGGTGATTAAGTTGCTTTTAAAATTTTAATTGTAACATTCATCTTCATACTTGCCTCAGCTGCCTGAAAAATCGCTTTTCAGAGGAAAGTCGCTGTCTACTCCAGTGCTACCCAAATGGTGAGCACATAGGGGACATTCGTCTTTTGGTCTCCACTTTTAGATCTGGTGCCTGGAGCTGCTGTTGAGTATGGCAAGTTCCTGGCCCAATTCACCTACCGCCCTGTCTCCATCCTGAGAGGGGGCTATGAGCGCTTCTCAGCCATGTACCACTTCTTCCGGACCCAGAAGGTCATCTGGATGCCTCAGGTACGGCAGGGCGCAGTGCACAGGCAGGCTCAGGGAAGCATGGCCCTGCAGACTGAGGAGTTGGGGGCAGAGGAGGAGAAATGAGGGGAAGGGGCAGAGGACACAGAGGAGTGGAGGAGCCAGGGCGGCAGAAGTGGATGGGGCAGCAAAAAGTCCAGTTCGTTATGATGGATTCATGGCTGTCAGGTTAGAGCAAAGGCCAGAGACCGGGCCTGTGCAGAGGACAGGACACCCCAGGGGAGTTCTCAATGGTGGCCTGTATTCCAGGTCAGACAGACAGGGGCATCATGGCTTGAGAACACCTCTCCATGCTTGGCTGTCTGGTTCCACAAACCCTCGCTGTATCCATGGGATACAAACTAGGGTGAGGCAACAGTCCCTGCCCACGGGGAGCTCTTTGTCTACAGAGAAGGCAGTGGTTGCAATGTGGACTATGGTGTCTGGTGCTCAGAGGAGGGGGTGCTTAGCTTCCTGGAGCCAAAGCTGAAGGATGACGAGCTTGCAAGGAAAAGAACTGGGCAAAGGTGTATAAGGCAAGCGCTGGCGTGCAGTGATCTACAGGCAGGGGTTGGTCCCTGGAGGGCGTTGTGTCCAAAGGTAGCTGGTTTCCTGCCGAGTGGGAGCACAATGGGATGTAAAACATGGAGTTGTTTCACTTCTTTCTATCAGGTGCCTTCTGCTGCCTGTAGTCACATCTTGGGCAAATTCCATACTTTCTGGCCACTTTCGGCTATAAAACACATTTAGTCTAAATTATCTAAATTATAGTATAAAATGATTGGGCAAGTGTGAATATGCACAGGCTATTTAAGGACTTGTTGCTCTTAAAAGGTTGCAATGACATTATTATTGTTATTTTTTAAAAAGTGCAAGTCCCTATCTTGTAGAGACACAGTCTGAAATATCTATGGGTGAAATGATGGGATATCTGGAATTTCCTTCCAAACAATATGGGGTGAGGTGGAGAGTTGGTGGGGGTATAAGATGGAACAAAATTGGCCATGAGTCGACAATGCTTGAAGCTGGTTGATGGATAGAGGGGGCCTGTTATACTGTTCTTTCTATTTTTGATGTGATTTTAAATAAAGGAAGCAGAAACAGTCTAGTACAAGCCAGGGCAGTTTAACTTCCAATCTCAAATCTGAATTGAGCTCCTTCTCCTCCCATTCCCCAGAGCTGAGCAGCCTTGGGTTTGCAGGGTGCTGGGAGTGGGGAGGGGTGGGCGCTTGCTCCAAGGACCGTTCCTCTCCTCCTCTCTCCAGGCAGAGCCTCTTTGGTATCACGGACCCAGAGGGGTCCTACCTGTGCGACTGGCTGCGTTTTAGTGATGGGGAAGTACCTGCTTCATTCCGGGCCGGTATGGCTCTGAGAGCTACTGGGGCCTCTGCAGCTGGGTCTCCTGGGGGCCGGCCTCAGCCTCTCTCCCTGGCACCTTATGTGGCTGAGGATTTCCCAGAGAGAGCAGCCGGTGGTGACTCCCCTTAGCCCCTGCCAGGCGTACCTCCTGCTCTCTCCCTTCTCTCAGCAGTCCATACTCCCTGGCCCTCCCCAGCCCTACCACCATAGCCACACTCATTCCCCTGAATCCCAGAGTGATCCTGTGTAAGGCAGGGACTCGTGTCGAGGTCACACGTGTTCTCAACTCCAGGGTGTATACGTCAAGCTCTCCAAGGACTCCCCCCCCTTCTTCCATGGAGATAAGAGCACTATGAATTCCAGCTCATTAGGTGGATGGCCAGTCTCCCCATCCTGCCAGGCATGCCTCCTTGCTCCTGGAGGAGTGCCCCTTATGGCTTTGTAAGATGAGGAGAGAGTAAGTTCTTTTCTGCAAACCTTACACTGCTGATAACTCACCACCGCCCCATTGTTTCTAAAGCTTTAGTAAGGTAAAATTGACATATGGTGAGTTGCACATATTCTGAATGTCCAGTGTAGTTAGTTTTGACATATGTATATGCCTGTGACATGTCTTTGCCCCAGTTTTATCAGATTGGGAAGGGGGGAGGAAGTTGTGGCCAACAGTAGTCAGGAGGGCTAATTGGGGCGAGTTGTGGTCCTACTTGTCTGCGCCCGCCTTTAATATGAAGGTGCTTAGCATTTGTCTCTCCCCCTGTGGGACGTTTGCCACCCATTCAGGAACAAGAAGGAAAGCTTCACTCCCTTCCTGTCATGTGATCTCATGTACTGTAAAGCCAGGGTATCCTGTCTACTCCCCAGGGAGCTTCTTTTTTGTGGGGGATGGAGGTCCAGCATTTGGGCTCTGGGACTACCTCCCTGCTTTAGACAGAGGGAATTATAATTTCCTCCATTTTATTTTATTTTATTGAGTTGGGGTCTCACTCCATCGCCCAGGCTGGAGTGCAGTGGCATCCTCACGGCAACCCCAGTGTCGACCTCCTGGGCTCCGGCAATCCTTCCACCTCAACCTTCCAAGTCACTGGAACTACAGGTGTGTGCTACCGCACCCAGCTAATTTTTTATTTTTTATTGTAGAGACAAGGTCTCGCCAAGTTGCCCAGGCTGGTCTCGAACCCACAGGCTTAGTCAACCCACTCGCCTCAACCTCCCAAAGTGCTGGGATTACAGGCCGAGCCACCGGGCCTGGCCATGATTTCCTTCCTCCACCTTATAGACAGCCTTCTGTAAGTAAGAATTCCCTGTGAGTTAAAGAGATTCTGTGATGAAGACATGTTGAAAATTCACTGCTAGAGGTAGATGATGGTGAGCCCGCCCCGAGCAGTTTTAGGTTGAGGGGTGGTGCAGTCAGATTGCACTTTAATTTTCTTAGAAATAGGGTCTCATTCTGTCACCAGACCAGAGTGCAGTGATACAACCAACGGTTTACTGCAGCCTCCAACTCCTGGGCTCCAGTGATCCTCTGTTTCAGCCTTCTGTGTAGCTGGGACTACAGGTGCACACCACCATGCCTGGCTGATTTAAATTTTGTTTTTTTTTTGGAGAGACAGAATCTCATTAGGTTGCCCAGGCTAGAAGACTGCACTTTAGAAAGGTTGATTTGGATTGCAGTGTGGGGAGCAGATTAATGCATAGATCTGGGGAGCCCTGCCAGGACGGGAGTGGAAAGGAGAGCACAGATTCAAGAAATATTGAGGAGGTGACATTGGTCAGACACGAGGATAGGGGAGAGAGAAGCCTGGGACGATGGCCTGGTTTTAGGGGTGAACAACAGGTGGGCAGTGGTGTGGCTTGTTGGGAGGGGAACGCGGGTCGTGGGGAGAGGAAAAGGCGCTTTTGAAGGAAGACAGTGGGCTCAGTTTGACCATATTTGGTTTTTTGTTTGTTTGTTTGAGTCAGAGTCTCACTCTGTCGCCCAGACTGGTGTGCAGCGGCCACTCCCGGCCCCCGCAGCCTCGACCTGCCGGGCTCCGGCGATCCTTCCGCCTCAGCCTTCCGAGTAGCTGGAACTACAGGTGTCCGCTACCATGCCCGGCTAATTTTTTTTTTTTTTTTTTTTTTGAGTTGGAGTCTCCCTCTGTCGCCCAGACTGGAGGGCAGTGGCCGCTCCCGGCCCCCGCAGCCTCGACCTGCCGGGCTCCGGCGATCCTTCCGCCCCAGCCTTCCAAGTAGCCGGAATTACAGGCATGCGCTACCACGCCCGGCTGATTTTTTGATTTATCGTAAAGATGAGGTCTTGCTGCCCAGGCGGGTCTCGAACCCGCGGGCTCAGGCCATTCACTCACCTCGGCCTCCCAAAGGCGCGGGATTACAGGCTGAGCCACCAAGCCCGGCATAATTTTTTGATTTACTGTAGAGATGAGGTCTCGCCAAGTTGCCCAGGTGGGTCTCGAACCCACGGGCTCAGGCAATGTACTCACCTTGGCCTCCCAAAGTGTTGGATTACAGGCGGAGCCACCAAGCCCAGCTATTTGTGATAGCTTTATTGCCCAGGCTGGAGTGCAGTGGCACAATTATAGCTCACTGAAGCCTCAAAAGCCTGAGTGCAAGTGATTCTCTGGCCTCAGCCTTCCTGAGGAGCTAGGACTACAGGTGCATGCCACCATGCCTGGCTAATTTTTAAAATTTTTTTCTTTTTTTGTGTAGACTAGGTCTTGCTGTGTTGTCCAGGCTGGTTGCCCAGGATGGTCCTGAACTCCTAGCCTCAAGCCATCTTCCTGCCTCAGCCTCCCAAAACGCTGGGATTACTGTGTGAGCCTCTGCACCCAGCTGAGATACCGATTTTGTGTGTGTTGTGTCACTTAGCACTGGCATGTGCTTGCTCTTTATAGTACAATATGCTGTTTATTCATGCCACACACTCTTCCCAGCCAAATCCATACAACCACAGAAAAGGAAACTGATTTCAAAGCAGCAGCAAGTAAGTTGATAGAGTGCTTTTGGGTTTTTTGTGAATTCTTTTTTCAAGTAGACCTTGAAAGGCGGGTTTCATTCAGCTCCAGCAAGTTGATGGTGCTGGGTAGGGGCAGCCTGCACACTGGGGTAAGCTTTGAGCCGATTCTGCAAGCAGTGGGCCTACCTGCAGGTGGCAGGGTGACGCATCCCTGTGTCGCAGGCTAGAGGATTGGCTCAGTTTGGTGTCTGCTCTTGGCTAAAGGTGTTTGACGATGGCGGTTTGAGAAGGATGTGGGCTTGCAGTGGTTTCATTGTGGTGGGGAGGGGAGATAAGATGTGGAGTCCAGATGGCTCTGAAGGGCTGCCGCGGACAGTGTAGAAGCCTGATGTATTTAATGTTATTTCTGAGTCGGACTTGGAGCCAGAGGACTTTGGAGCTGGTTTTGATCTTTGAAATGACATAGGTCAGCATTTCCCAGGGAGTTCTGATGGAGAAAGTGGTGTCTAATCAGAGAAACATCAAGCTATCATGGGTGAGTGAGTTTCTCTACTGCCAGGCTTCTTTGAACCTTTGGTTGCTAATGTACACTTTGTTTCTGAGAGAAGGATATCAGAGGTATGGCTTCTCATATACAGAGTCATTCTACAGTATTCGTGGGGGATGGGTCTAGGACCCCCCACAGATGCCAAAATCCATGGATACTCAAGTCCCTGATATAAAATGGTATGTATTTGCATATAACGCATGCATATTCTCCCATATGCTTTAAATAATCTCTAGATGACATGATACTGACTACAATGAAAATACTATGTAAATAGTTGTTATAAAGTCTGTATGTGTTCAGTATACATGTAACTGTCCTTTTTTTCCTTCCAAATATTTTCAGTGTGAGGTTGGTTGAACCCATGGATATGGAGAACCAACTGTGCTTGGTTTCTGAACCCTTTTTTCATAGTGCATTATGAGGACCAGTGTTTCTTAGAACATGTTTTGGGAGATGTAGAAATAGTCCTTCTCTTTGTTTCTTTGTATGTCAAAGAAACCAAAGTTTTTATTATAATTTTGGACCTGGAATTCAGGAATCTTCTCTACGTTTGATCCCTTCATCAGAATTCATTTCCTAGTGGCAAATAGGCTCTATGTGAAGAGTTTTATTGCTTTTTTGTAATGGTGTTTAAATTCTGGTGCCTCCAAGTTTAATAAGAGGGCTGTTCCTCCCCATCCCACCCCGCACCCCACTGGACACACCCTGGGTTGTTACAGTTCTGGGCCACAGGGTTCTCGACACCAACTTCTGTGCCCTTGGCCAAGTGCAAGTAGGTGCTGGGGAGGGAAGTGGACATTGGTGTTGAGACCCAGCAGTCTGCACCATGATGCCATGGTTTGGTCCTGTTATGGCCAGCCCTGTAACTCCTCATCAATGTTATTGTTTGCCAATCTTTTAAAAATCGTGAGCTCTGGTGTAGTCGGTTTCCTTTTAAGCTTGTTTACTGATTGGTATTTCAAGAGGCAATGAAAATGCGTTCTTCCTTGGGGAACATGCTCTTAGCTGTGTTTTTCTTCCCCACTTCAGGAACTGGATGCATTTCAGCCATACCCTATTGAAATAATGCCAGGCAAGATCTTCTTGGGCAATTTCAATCAAGCCTGTGACCCTAAAATTCAGAAGGATTTGAAGATAAAAGCACATGTCAATGTCTCCATGGAGGTGGGGCCTTTGTAAGTAAAGGAGAAGCTATTTTTTTTTAGGTTAAGTATCATTTATTTATATAAACTTCCTAGCATCATGCATTTATAGAGTTGGAAGAGCTTTTAGAAATCAGTATGCACAAAAGGAGGATCAGCACTGGTCTTCACCTGTTCCTAGCCTGCAGACTATTTCCTTGCCTGGCCTTGGCATCCTCTCCCCCTGACTGTGACCCCATATTTGCCTTTAAAATCTCACCAAAAGTAATGTTTTCCTGGTAGTTAACATTATAGTATAAAATGTCCCGTGCTACTGAGACATGCTCAGAGGGCTGGAGCATTTGCCCTGGTGCCAGGGAGGCACACACGTGCACGCACGCGTATACACACACACCCACACCCACACACATTCATCATCGTTCGGTGTGCAGGAAAGCCCTGTACTGCCTGGCTTGTCAGTCTCTGTTTTCCCAACTGTGTTCACCAAGGCCCAGCACTATGTACCTCTCTACCTCTACTTCCTGTTCAAAGTTAATAAAGGCTCACTTCAGGGAGAATTTGTGGAAAGAAGTATTTAGCAAAGTGTCTAGTAACAAAAAACATTATATAAAATCAAGAGATTTTATTCATGGATATAAAAACAATAATCAGTATAGCTTGAGTATCTCTGATCTGAAAACCCCAAATCCAAAATACTTCAAAAGCTGAAACTTTTTGAGCATTGATATGGTGCTTAAAAAAAATGTTCATTGGAGCGTTTTGGATTCTTGAATTAGGGATATTCAGCTGGTAAGTATAATGCAACTATTCTAAAATCTGAAAACGTTCAAAATCTGAAACACTTCTGGTCCCAAGAATTTTGGAAGGATATACGCAATCTGTAAAAGAGAAAAGATCTAATTTACAATATGAAGAAAAAAATGGTAAGATTCCTAGGAATAGCCCTAACAAGAGATATGCTAGTACAATGTAAAAAAAAAAAAAAAAAAGGAAAGAGATTTTAAAAAGGTATGGGCAGCGGGAAATAATTTTTTGATAGTTAAGCGTGATATTGTGATGATATCAGTTCTTTCTGAATTAACCTATAGATTTAAAGAGCTCTCAATTAAGAAGTGAGCTATGTGTGTATAACTAGATAATCTGATATTAAAGTTCACAGAAAGAGTGAAATAGTTTGTGATGAATAAGGACACGGTGATTCAGAACAGCCTTATAGCAAGAACAGCTAGAAGAGTTGGATCAAAGATTTTCCTCTGCTTTATGAGTGGGAAAGCGGACAAAACAGTGAAGATTTAGGTGCCAATATCTGGGAGAAGGAAAAAAACTTAGAGAGGTGAAGCCAGAACTTGGAGTTTCTTTCTCACGAGGGGTATCTGCTGATTCTAGAGAGAAAGAATGGGGTAGATGTAACATCTGAAAAGATAATGGCTGAGAACATAAAGCCAGAAATTCAAGAAACCTTGTGAATTCCAAGCAGGTTAAATCTAAAGAAAATCAAATCTAAGCACATAGTTAAGACACTGAAGACCAAAGAAACAGAGGACGTATTAAACGCACCAAAGAAAAAAAGACAGCAATTACTTTCAAAGGAGCAGTTAGACTGGCAGCTGACTTCACAACAGAAATAATTGAAACCAGAAGAAAATGGAGTATATCTTTGGGGTTGGTAGCCTTTTAGGTGATTCCCCCACCTTCTGATAGTCACAGCATTAAGTGTGGGCTGGACTTACTGATGGGCCTATAATGAATATTATAAAGTAGAAGTGATGGGCTGTCATTTCTGAAATTAGGATACAGAAAAACTTTGGCTTCTGTCTTGCTCTCTTGCTTGTTCACTCTGAAGGAAGTTAACTAGCATGTAGTAAGCTGCCCTATGGACTGGTTCATGTGGCAAGAAACTGAGGGAGACCTCTGGATAATAGCTAGTGAGGACTGAGGCCCTCAGTAAAAAAGGCTGTAAAGAACTGAATTCTGACAATAACAATGTGAGATAGCTTGGACTCAGCTCCTCCTCCAATTGACCCTTCAGGTGAGACTGGATGAGATTTGGCCAACAGCTTGACTGTAACCTCATGAGAGATTTTCAAATGGTACTCAACTAAGCCACAACCAGATTCCTGACTCATAGAAATGGATAGATAATAGCATTTATTGTTTTAAGTCACTAAGTTTTAGGGTATTTTAGAGTGATAAATGACTGATACAGTCTTAAAGCACTGAAAGAAAATAACTGCCAACCTACAATTTTATACTCAGAATCTCTTCTTCAAGAATATAAATGAAAAATTTTGGCTTTGATGAAGTAACAGAGACCAGGTTTACAGTCCCACCTTAAACAATCAAAACAACCCAGACAAAACATCTAAAACAAGGCTTTTCAGACAATAGCCAACAGATAGCACATGACAGTGATTCCAAGAGAAGGAAAAAAATCATGATGATCCTACAGTTGATCCAAGTTACTGCCTGGAGATTATTTGCAGTTCACAGTACGGGGATGGGCCCAAACCAGCCCTGCCATTCTTCCTGAATTAAGGCTGCAGAGTTGAGAATTCAGAGAAGTAAAATGGGCTAGAGTTTGCAAGAGAGACCTGCATGAAGAACAGAGCTGCAAACAGAGATCTCTGGACATTATAGGGGGTTTCACCAATATCGAGGCCAAGGGAAAACCAATAGAAAGGAATAGGCAGTATAATCCCCAAAGATTATATGGAGCCAAGAGTAGTTTGTGTTTAAAGTCAGAGTGGACAAAACTCATAACATACAAGGCATCAGACAGAGAACTCAGAACAGTATTGCCTCAGGAATGAGGAAACCTTAGCCCTAGACTAGGGATGGAAAATATTGTCTGAGATGAACCGTACACTGTATGGTCTTAACTGCAGATTAAACACTACAGAAGAAAAAAATTGGTGAATACGAAGACATAGCAATAGAAAGCATCAAAAGTGAAGCACAGGGAAGAAAAAGACCATCAAATAAAATTAGCAGAATTTTAGTGAGCTTGAGACAGTTTTAAGTGGTCTTAACTAAGTGTAATTAAAGTTTCCAAAGAAGAGGGAAGTGGGGTGATAGATAACATATTTGAAAAAAATAATGGACAAAAATTTTCCAAATTTGATAAAACTTGAAAATGCCTGGCTCCAAGAATCTCAACGGAACCCGAGCACAATAAACATGAAGTAAAATACAACAAGGCACATCATATTGCATTGGTTAAAATCACTGTTAAAGAGAAAAAATATTAAAAGCAGCTAGAGAAAAAAGATGTATTATATACCGAGGAACAAATACAAGGATGGTAGCAGATTTCACATCGGAAACAATGAATCGAGAGACTGTGAAGTACTGAGAAAAATATCTGCCAACCTAGAAATATACAACCAGCTAAAATAGCTTTCAAGAATGAAGGCAAAGCAAATATTTTGTCAGGTATATGAAAGCTGAAAAATTTTATTATCAATAGACTTGTACTACAAAAAATACTGAAAGAGTCTTTCAGGCAAAAAAAAAAAAAAAAAAAAAAAATGATACCAGATGGGAATCCGAGCCTATACAAAAAGAATGACGATTTTCAGAAATGGTAATTTCGTAGATAAACATAAAATCCTTTCCCCCTTGTTTTAACATTTCTTCAAAAGGTAATTGACTGTAAAAGAAAAAATAATAATACATGTAGAAGTAGTGTTTATGCCCACAATTTACAAAGGCAGGAAAAGAGGAACTAGACATATACACTTGTAGAGGTCTTATGATATTTACATGAAGTGTGGTATATATTACTTCAAGACAAACTGTGATTATTTAAAGATGTGTTCTGTAAACTCTAAAGCAACTGCTGAAAAACAAAACAAAAATAAAAAGATATAATTGAGCAACAAAGGAGGTAAAATGGAATCATAAAAAATAATCTAAAAGAAGAGAGCAAATGAGAAAAATGGGAACACAGAAGAGAGAAGACCAGTAGGAAACAAATAGCAAGACAATATATTTAAACTCAGTCATATCTATAATCATGTTAACAAATAGTCTAAATATGCCAATTAAAATGAAAGGTTGTAGGCTGCCTATAACAGATGAACTTTAGAAATAAAGATAAGTTAAAAATAAAAGGTTGGAAAAAGATATTCTAGATTAAGACAATTTAAAAAACCCTCTGGAGTAGTCATATTGTTATCAGATAAATTAGACTTCACAGCAAAGAATACTACCAGAGATAAAGGGAGTCATTTCATTATGAGAAAATGGTCAGTTAATCTAGACTCTAGGTTCTAGAGGACATACTAGTCTTAAGTGTATATGAATCTAATACAGGACCTTAATGTATATGAAATAAACACTGTTAAAACTGAAAGGAGAAATAGAGAAATCCATAATTTTGCTATTTCCACAGAAATGTCAACATCCCTTTCAATAATTGATGGTATAAGTAGACAGAAGCTAGGTTATAATTTTAAAGATTATAAAAATATTATTATTCACCTTTGCCTAATTGATAATTATAGAACACTCCGTGCAATAGCAGTAATGTTCTTCTAGTCTTCTTTGAATGTGTTCTACAATATTCTTCTAGAGAGGACAGGGAATTTTTTGACAAGATAGACTATTCTGAGCTATAAAACAAGTATCAATAAATCTAAAAGGATTCAAGTTATAAAAATTATATTCTCTGACCATAATGGAATTAAATTAGAAATCAATAGCAGAAAGATATCTGGGAAAATCCCAGATGTTTGGAAACTAAAGTCTGTGGGTCAAAAAAAAAATCAAAAGGGAAATTAGAAAGTGTTTTTGTTTTGTTTTTGAGTCAGAGTCTTACTCTGTTGCCCAGGCTTGAGTGCAGTAGCATGCTCATGGCCACCACAGCCTTGACCTGCTGGGCTCAGGTGATCCTTCCACCTCAACCTTCCATTAGCTGGAACTATAGGCATGTGCCACCATACCTAGCTAATTTTTAAAAATTTATTGTAGAGACCAGGTCTACCGTGTTACCCAGTCTGGTCTTGAACCTGCGGGCTCAGGCAGTCCTCTCG